GGGGGTTGGAATGGGGAATTAGCTTCTCTTATATGATAATGAAGTGTGTAGGCACACACCTTGGCCAAAGGAGCTACCAAGAGATTCTGATCTAAGGGAGGAATTACGGAAGAGTTTTGCAATAGGCCTAAGGGCAGAAGCAGATAGAGCACAAAAGACCTAACAGGAGATGGCTCCCACAAAGAATTTAGCTGAGAGGGCTGGAATGCAAGTTCATGACTTCATGACATCTGAGCAAAGACAAGATGCCTTGGAAAATACACAGGGAACCAAGAAAAAGAAACAAGAACTAGACAGGGCGTAAACTAAAAATACAATGGGATAGTGTAAATCAAGTATCATGCACCTCAGGGCTAATTCCATTAGTGACCTTCCCAGAAAAAGTGTTTGAGCTTGCAGGGGACTTGCAACATCAAAGACAGATAAGCTGTACACGCCTAACGCTGAGAGGTCAAAGCAGGCCCAACACATGAAAATAACACCCACAAAAGGCACCTTGCAATATCAGACCCTCCCTCCTGTCAGAACTAGTTGGGATGCAGTTTCATGTCTATCTTACAACCATTTGTTTACCACCGATTTCGGCTTTTGCCACAGGTCTATGGGCAATGGTATTGTGTAAGTCCCCTGAGTGGGGAGCATGAGGCGCTAAAAGCTTCCAGAAAGCCATTGCGAACAGCAACCTGAGTGAGCTATGTATTTCTCTTGCTCTCCAGTTTACTATTTAAGACGCTACTACCTATATAAATTTGAATTAGAATAGGAAAGTGACTGACAGAAGCCAGGCAAAAGGCACTCTCAGGGTTTAGACTTCAAGCTTCCCTATCTGTTGCTCTACTCTTGACCAACCACATACATGAGAAAGCGCTTGACCGATGGAAATGAGGATAGGTGGTACAGAATGCTTTTACCAACATTTTCATCCTAAAACATAGCTAGCTACAGGACAACACGTTAACAGTAAAAACAATAAACATTCACATTCTGATAAATAGACTTTAAAAAAATATACATATATACACCAGTAAGGAATAAAGCCTTGTTCTGAGGTGGGACAGGCCACAAGAAAACGTTCTACTTCAAAGATGAACTAGGTATTTCCCAGGTCAGTGAGGGCCTACGTGAAAGATAAACTGAATATCTGATAGTATGCAAAATGGCAAGAATTACAAGGTGATTATCTAAGGCACTTTTATGCCTGATGTATTGAATTCTGACTCCAAGGTCAAGGAAAGGCAATAACTTCTATAAAACTGATTTTATGAATATAAGTATTTCAGAGAAAGGTTTGCTAGCTAGAAAAATTTGACCTCATCTATAGCAGAAAGCAAGTTATGAAAGCAAAGGTAAAGATGGAGAGAAAAGGGAAGTTTAGACAAGCTCCAGCACTGACTTCATGACAAGTCTTGAGTTTTTATCAAGAGCGCAAGCTGACAACGTAGTAGTCAGGTCTTAGCTCCACATTCTTGCTGAGACTAAGAACTCTTCAACAATGTTGTAGAGTTACATTATCAGTGCTTATAAACTATGTAATGGTCCCAGAGACAAAGAATTCATTTCACCCACTGAAATCAGGTGCAGGGGCTTTAACTAACAACCCTTAACATTAAAAAAAAACCACAGCGTCTCCAAGTTAATACTGCAGAACTTTATACAAAACTTAATACACTTATAGATCAGACTTTCCCTTGTTGGAGGAGGATCAGGTTAGAAGTCATTTAGGCAAACTTGACACCCACAAGTCCATGGGCCCCGATGGGATGCACCCACGAGTGCTGAGGGAGCTGGCAGATGTCATTGCTAGGCTGGCCACTCTCCGTCATCTTTGAAAGGCCATGGAGAACAGGAGAGGTGCCTGTGGACTGGAAGAAAGCAAACGTCACCCCAGTCTTCCAAAAGGGCGAGAAGGAGGAGCCAGGGAACTCTAGGCCGGGCAGCCTCATCTCAATCCTTGGAAAGGTGATGGAGCAGCTCATCCTGGAGGCCATCTCTAAGCACGTGGAGGACAAGAAGGAAGGTGATCAGTTCACCCAAGGGAAATCACGCTTCACCAGTCTGAGAGCCTTCTATGATGGGACAACTGGCTAGGTAAATGAGGGGAGAGCCGTGGATGCCGTCTGCTTTGGCTTAGGAAGGCTTTTGACACCGTCTCCCATCACATCCTCCTAGGCAAGCTCAGGAAGCGTGGGCTGGATGAGCAGACAGTGAGGTGGATCGAGAACTGGCTGAATGGCAGAGCTCAGAGGGTTGTGACCTGCGGCACAGAGTCCAGTCGGAGGCCTGTAGCTAGCAGTGTCTCCCAGGGGTCAGGACTGGGTCCGGTATTGTTTAACTTATTAATCAGTGACCTAGCTGAAGGGATAGAGTGCACCCTCAGCAATTTTGCCAATGATACAAAACTAGCAGGAACAGCTGATGCACCAGAGGGCTGTGCTGCCTTTCAGAGGGGCCTCAACAGGCTGGACAGATGGGCAGACAGGAACCTCATGAAATTCAACAAAGGGAAGTGCAGGGTCCTGCACCTGGGGAGGAATAACCCCATGCACCAACACAGGCTCGGGAACTGACCTGTTGGAAAGCAGCTCTGTGGAGAAGGACCTGGGAGTCCTGGTGGACGACAAGTTGACCATGAATCAGCAATATGCCCTTGTGGCCAAGGCGGCCAATGGTATCCTGGGGTGCATTAGGAAGAGTGTTGCCAGCAGGTCGAGGGAGGTGATCCTCCCCCTCTACTCAGCCCTGAGGAGGCCGCATCCGGAGTACTGTGTCCAGTTCTGGGCTCCCCAATACAAGAGAAGACATGGAGCTCCTGGAGTGGGTCCAGTGAAGGGTTACTAAGATGAAGGGACTGGAGCATCTCTCCTATGAGGAAAGGCTGAGACAGCTGGGCCTGTTCAGTCTGGAGAAGAGAAGACTGGCGGGGGGGGGAATCTGATCAATGTGCATAAGTATCTGAAGCGAAGGTGTCAAGAGGATGAAGCCAGACTCTTCTCAGCGGTGCCCAGCAACAGGACAAGAGGCAACGGGCACAAACTGAAACACAGGAAGTTCTGTCTGAACATGAGGAAAAACTTCTTGACCTTGAGGGTGACTGAGCATTGGAACAGGTTGCCCAGAGAGGCTGGGGAGTCTCCTTCCCTGGAGATACCTAAAAGTTGTCTGGATACAATCCTGGGTAATGTGCTCTAGGTGACCCTGCTTGAGCAGGTAGGTTGGACTAGACGCTCTCCAGAGGTCCCTTCCAGCCTCGACCATTCTGTGAGAGAGCATACTTGATAAGACACTGTCATAAAATAGTGACTGATATAAATACAAAGCATTACAAACAACATTTGAAATTAAAAAAAGTTTATTTGAAGATTTCAAAAACAACTGTGAAAGACCAACATTTCCAGGACACTAAGATATGATAATGTATTCTCCTATTGTTAGAATATAAAAAAAAAGTCACAGTCCTTCAACTATCTAAATAAAAGCATACATTTATCGACCAAACATTTTACTTCCAACACCAAGAAAGTAAATGGGTTTGAAAGTCAGACTAATTAATAGCATCAACACTAGGTGATCACCACCCCCATGGGTCTGAGAGTCTAGGTTTGTTACTACTAAGCAATATAGCAGATTAGGTAGGCAAGTCTTAATGTCAAACCAGACCCACAAGTACTGGAGAGTTCATACAATGAAATATCATAACCGCATTTTTTTCTACATTCCACTGAGGCAAAAAACCAGTAGCAAGCCAGAAACACTGAAGAGTTCCCATTAAACTCCAAGCTTCCATTTCAGAGCAAGAAAATCTTCAGAACTTACAAATGCCGTTCCATTTTAAACACACAACTTTATTCACTTTATGTTTACATAGGTTGTGCAATAGAGACATGTGCAATAGGAGGGTGAAGAACAAGATGTAGAAGTGGACAGTACTATTACAAGGATCCAATTATCACTTCATTGTAAAGCAGCACAGTATTATACTGCTTTCCGATGATACTCGGGAGGCGCTACTTCGTAGTCACTGGCGCTAAACAATGCTGAGGCATTCTTTGCTAAATACCTACAAAAGAGATATTAAAAAAAAAAAAACATTAAAACATCTTTTTGCCAAGAGTCTGTTCAACATCCCATGACTGAGTTTGTTTACTGAGATCCTAAAACATGATTTCAAGAGTACAAATCTAACATCTATTAGGAAAAGTCAGCTGTCCAAAGCAATTACAGAATTGACAACTCATGCCAATGTCAATTCCAAACACACTTCTCTCAAGCAAATCTGGCTCCCAGTGAGCACAAGGAGGTTAAGATTAACAGGATGAAACAACTTACATTTCAGATTTAGCCAGCTGCTGTACCAAGAATCAACCTACTACTGATACTGAAAGGGGCATGAGAAATAGGACATCATGCAGTTCCATTTGAACAAACGTGGAGCTTAAATTGATGGGTGAATGATAACTAGAGGAATATCAGCAATGGCCAACTAAGGGCAGTAGCTGGAAGTTAAGCTTTATATGCCATTACCGCTCATTAAATAGATTCAGGAATTTCTGGTCAGTGCCCTGGCTTCGTGTTTCTGTCTTCACAGCGTAAAGCTCTATCAGTTGCATTTACTTCAGCAGTTATCCAAAACACTATGGTTAACTCAAACTTCAGGATTATTCCAAAACAAGTTTGCCCTGGAAATCAGGCTTCGCCATTTCCAGCTTTATTGCAAGGTAAGATCACCTTCTTGGATGAGTTGAGGGTTTTCTTTTAACTTCCAATAGCTGACCCAGTCACACAGGAATAAAGTTTAATCTTGACCAGCAAAATGGCTTAACCTTTTGTCACCCCAGTAATTTACAAATCAATACTCCCAAATACTATGAGCAGACCTCTACGATCTTGTATGAAAGGACATCAAACGTTTCTTCTTTCCATGACAATTGCAAATGGAAACTTACAGTTTTAGTACAAGATGACCAAGAAAAGCTGTCAGCACAGCAAAAGCAAATAGCAGCACACTGATGCTGTGACTTGGCATACAGCTGAACAGTTTCAAACCACCCACCTGTTCCCACCTACCCATATATTTTATCCCAAAAGCATAATGCTAAGTTCCTCCAGTGCTGTAAGGGTACATGAAAGCTACCCAAGTCATGCTTGCACATATACATGGCACAGATATATACGGAGCACAGGTATGACACCTCAGTAGACACTGAACTTCAATCTATTCTGTTCCATTTTAGAATCTCACATTCAGCAAACAGTTCAAGACGAACTAAGCAGCAAATCACTCCATAGTTCCTTAGAGCAGTCATGAGATTATATTTCATTACCTGCCTGAAGTCAAATGGCAGATTTAAAAAACAAAAAAAAACAAAACACACACACACAGCGCACACACATTCCACATTTAAATCTTAAATTACTATTTAGGATGAAAGATTCATCCTAAACATGTAATAAAACGTCTACAGCAACACAACAGCATAGTGCAGAGAACCAGAGCTACCAGTGAGTCTGCCCCAAAAATAATAGCAGGATGGTTTATCGCTCTTTAACTGTTAGTTAATGGTTTAGTACCTGTTGTGTTATAATTGTCATCTGTTTTTAATAACCACTATGAGTAAATGCTTCCAACATTTATTTTGAAACAAGAAGCAGACATTGACAGTTTAAGCACACAGACTAATAGGTATGTAAACACACACACGTGCTTAACTGGCAATAACCTCAGTATACAGGAGAGACGTTAAAACAATCTTATTCATACATTACGGTACAGCAGAGTTTGTTAAAACTTTACTGCAAGCTTCAGTGAATACACCACTCACAGGCTGTAACATACATGTACAGTTGTCTTCAGCAAACACAGGCCACACATTACTTTCAAATCTTTCAGCAAGCCAAAGAAGTTTGGTAAGCAGGGCTTTTGTACTTACTTCAAGAAGTCATGTAAGTAGTTTAACAGCAAAGCCAGACTCTTCTCATCAAGAGGTGTGTAAGCAAGCATAGCACCAATTCGTACTGTCAAAACGGACAAAGTAGCACTTGTCATAGTTAACAGCTTTAACAAGTATTTCAATAAAGTCTACCCCCTTTACTAGGATACATAAAAAGCCTATACGAGGGTATATAAAAAGCCTAGGAATCTATTCCAATATATACAAGGCTGCCTAAAGTAGCTAGGCTATTGAAAGGCCATTTTTATTCTAAAAATCATCAACTACTCTGACCATTTTAGGCATACAGCGTAACAAAAGAATTAAATCACTGATTGCAAAGTTGCTTTTCAAATTTCTGCAATTCAAATGTACTGAGAAAGTACAGGAAAAGCAAGCATTTAAATACCTTTAACTGTTCCCCCTTCAGTTTGTAGATGTCATACTCACCAAATAACCTCAGTAGATGTGGGGCACCATAGACTTGAGACATAGGAGCATCTGGGTGATCTGCTAAAATTTCGGCATATTGCGGCCTCTCAAATTTGTACAGTAGTTGAGTTCCCAGCATTACATTGAAGTATTCTTTAATTCCAGCCACAACTTCATTAACAGCATACTCCCTGGTAAACAGAGGAAACTCTTCAGTCTCGTTCTAATGACTGCACAGACACAAGATTAGAGCTGGTTTGTTCAGTCCCTCAAAATCATCAAGATCTCAGGACTTTTCAGAGAAACTTGACTGGAAACCTTAAGATGTACAGCTGTAGAGAGTAATGCATTTCAAGATTTTCCTTTAAAATGAACTGTTCTGAACTCAGTGAGAATTTATGCAAACCAAAAGCCACCTTGCTTTTACTTCTCTTCTCACTTTAAGAGTTAAGCTAATTTCTTTGAGTAGTCTATTCAAAGCAGCAGTGAATAAGTATTTCTCTAAGGAGTCGTATTACCAGTTCTTCTGTTTTTAACCAAAGTTAATCCCAAGTCACAACAGTTAAAGAGTAGAATATTACTTTCCGTAATCAGACTTAACTCCTGCTTACTGGAAAGGGCTAGTCACACGGTATTTCAGAAAACTGACCCTTTCTAACTCTGTCTCAATTCCATCTGCTGAAGGCCTCCAACTTCACAATTATTTAACTCCTATACAGTTAGGATTCAATGTTCTGTATAAGCAGTCACACCGCACACTTGAGAAGTGCAACCCTTACTCCACCCTGCAACCTAGTTTAGAATAGATATTACATAAAAGGATATTAAAACTCCCTGACAAGTCAATAATATGCTTCTGCTTGAATGGAAGAAAAAAACTTCACGTTTCTAGTTCCTGCCCCTTTAAAAAGGAAAGCTTCACTTAAGAATAAAAATTCCTTGTTTGCTGTCAGGGCTTGACCCCTGGGGTAATTACAAATAAGAATCTTGGAAGCTATCACCTCAAAATAGTTAGCTTTGCCCCCTTTGATTCTTCCTGTAAAAGCTTCTAGTAAAGTCATCTCCCACCTCCCTGTTCCCTACCATTCTATCTGCACACAGGAACATACAGGAACACTTTTGCCCAACTGCTAGGTTGCTTTCTTGGTAGTTTGTTCAGCTTATACCTAGCACTGTATTTATTCACCCAGTGTAGTAAACCTGAACTAGAATGAAGCGGATGAAGAAGAATTCACTTTGCCTCTGTCAGTTTCCTTTACAGAAAAGGCTTGAGGGGGGAAAAAAAGAAGCAATAACATCCAGAGAGCAAAACTGCATTTACAAATTAGCTCCTCAAAGACTTGTGAGCTCCTTAACCCCCTCAGTCTTCAACATTATGCTGGACATAGGATGGGATCTATTTAACAAATAAACTTACCAAGTTTTCTGTGAAGGACAAGTTGAACAATAACAGGAAAAAATAATTAAGGTTTGAAATGACTACCACTTACTTGTTATCAGTATTTCCTCGCGATTTCTTGTAGTTTGCATAATCCTCTAAAATGGAGTCAACATTCTTCTTGGCAGGAAGATAGAAGAGCTATGAGAGAAGCAAAGTTACACAAATATCAACTGTCTAGTTTATGCAGACGTTTCTATCCACATGTTAACTTTAAATAGATAAGGACATTTCTAGAAGAGAATTAAGATGTTAAGTGTTATTAAAGGAACACCCAACTGTTTTAGTTGTGGCATACCGAAAAACTATAAGAGCATCTACATACTTATTTCCATTTACAGTTTGTGCTGCTCAACAGCAATGTGAAGACAAACCATCAAAATTACCCCAACAGTCAAAGGTATGCGGTACAGCCCTGTCTACACCAGGCCGCACACAGTGGTTATATAAGCAACGACAGAAGTTTTACCTGTTCTTTTGTGTGCCTGCTCTGATTCTTATGTCCACAGTTCAGCACCTATTGCTACCATTGTGCAGGAAATAAGCCCGACAAATAGCTGTTGGAAATTTCAATGCCTGCACACAGTCTAAAGGAGTGTCACTGCTACATTAAAGCTTCCAGAATTGAAGACACAATATTCCCAATCCTGATTCACCAAGATCAACTTCTATCTTTAATACCATACACAAAACATCTGTATCTACAGACACCCAGTTCAGTCATATGCTGCAAGGCTGAGGGGTGCAGTGAATCCTGTCCATGTAGGACTTGAAAATAAATAGTTCTGCTTGTTTGAGGCTGAGAATAAAGGCAGACCTCAGAGCAGCAATCAGAGCGTGCGATTGCAGCCTACCGAACGATTTTCAAAATTGATATTACTCTGTAGGTTTCTTGCCCATTTTAGTAACTGGTTTCACACATGGAGTAAGTCAAGATTCTTTTACAGAGTTTTAAGGCCATGAGAATGTATTTTACTTTTAAAATAAAATGGTTTAATTTAGGTAAAATTAATGTATCATTCATCAGTTTATATTGATCCAACCTGGCAGAAGAATTAAGTGTCACTACCTCAAGAGACAGTTGTCTGACAGAGTCGTAGTATGACTGTAGATACTTTACATCCCACTTACTGCTAAGTTTTTAACAGGAAGAAGCTGAGGTAAAATATGCATCACATTGGATGTTCCTATGGACCAGTTCTCTACCAACCAAGTAAACTGTTCAAAGCGTAACAACAGACCAAACATGCTTAAGGTAACAACACATTTAAAGTTCACACAAGTTCAAAGTTAACCGATATTTTAACTTGTGCCTGATTAGACTAAATGAGATGCCAGAATCTCTTCCATAAGTTGACGTGCAACACCGCTGAGCCAGTCCTACTCACAAACAACCACTGGTAAAAATTCAACTGGAACCAGAACTCGGTCAAAAAGCCATCAGGATTACTTGACTGTGTCAACTCTACAAGATTTTTTGCTACATTGTACTTAAAGAGGATATAAAACTCCAGTTTTACTGCCCTTGCCCATGTAAGGCTAGATTGCCTTTGTTTAAAAAGCAAACAGAAAACACCAAAACCAAAAATTACCTGCTTCTGCCTGGTGATCAAGTCCCAGTCATCTACAAGCCATGGTTTCAGCTCTTCTGGAATTTTCACCTTTACTTCAACCCTGTTCATAAATGTTTCTTCCTGAAAAAAAGTGAAATCGGACTAATTACTTTCAGATAATTGCCCAAGCTAAGAGTCAACCATATTCCTTGTTTCCACAACTGAAATACACCACTGAACCAAGTACAGTAGTTCCTGTAGGCTCCACAAGGAATAGGGATATAGCTTAGACTTTCCAAAGCCATTTGGGAACCTTAGTTTTTTGAAGTTGTAACATTTCACACTGCTGTACTATAAGACAAAATATTCATGCTCATATTTCTGTACAAAGCAACCTTCCTGTTTTTTTTTTTTTTTTTTTTTTAAAAAAAGTCCTATGAGAGAGTCAGGAATACATACACTTTCAACTGTCGGATCCACTCGAGCCCTCTTCTTCCTAGGAGGCTGGGGAGTCTCACTGGTACTGCTCCCTTCTCCAATTCCAGGAGCTGTATTAAAAAAAGCAGCCGTTATACTACATAAGAAATCTAGTAAGCCAGTAAGAAGTATTAGTAAAAAGAAAGACTTAGAAGAAGGACTTAGAAATAAGACTCAAGTTTCTCTCAGGTGGGTTTTTTTTTTTTAAATAAGTGTTATTACTTGTCTTCTGGAAGTCTCACACATTTGAAATAGTTTAAGTGGATATATTCACACTTATCTGAAGACAGTTTTTTGCACTAAGAATCTGTAATTCGTTACATATTTTTGGAAGAAGCAACTCAGTCTTGTAGTATGTCACATTTTCTTATCGAGATGGAGATGTAAGTTTGACTAATAAGACTATTTGAATAGTTTCATGCAGTTTGCTTTCAAATTGCAAGAGGTCCAAATTTTCAGACTGCAACAAATAGTTTGTATACAAACCAGCAAGGTATTTATTCCCCCTGAGCAAGAGGAAGGGACACCTGAAGACCAAAAGGAACACAAGGTGATAGTTGGTAAACTCAGCCGAGGCAGATTTAAGATTCTGCCCCAACTAAAAAACCTTCGCTAAAGATATCCACTTTTATATATATAAAAAGAGACATACTCACTTTTCTGTTTGTTCTTTTTTGTTTTCCTGCAAGAAGAACACAAATTATTGCAAAAATAAAGATAGCAATACTTAGAAAACTGAAAGTTGAGAGTCAAAGCTGTCCAGTAAGTTCATAACAACGACCAAATATTGAGTGGCCTATGGAGTATTTAGATAATCGCAAATGAAAGGAGAAGCACCAGATGATCTGTCAGCACAGCTATGATACTTCAAGATTTTCCATGTAATAGGGTAATATTCATCAGTTTTTTGGGATTCAGTAAAGTTATGATGCATAATTAAACCTACAGAAACCCAAAAGATGACAGGCCAAGAACACATTAGTATTTAATAGTACTGACTGACAATTATTCAAGTCATGTCCGCAGATACTTTTCATATTTTTCAAGCGCTATTGAAAACTACACTAGATTTCTAGGGTGATTTATTTCAGCGTTTCATGGATTGCTTAAAAGACAGAACATGGTATAAGAAAAGAGAGACGCAGGGAAGCTATGAGGTATGTCTCAGTCAACTGAAACAACTTGCAGCCAAAGACTGGAAAACATACAGTTTTATGCCAACAGGAGCAGAGGATGATTTAAATATCACTGAAAGAATTAGATTCATGAAGTTGCACGGGCTGTCTATGACTGCACTGGGAACGTTAAGGGGAGATCAGTTATACCTAATTGCCACTTACTGGGAACACCACTATTCAGTACGGTTCCAAATGTTTCTAATGTTTCTCTTCTTCCAATGGTTTTCTCTAAACACTTAGTTTCTAGTTCACATACTTCTTCAAGGCTGCTCTAAATTCACTGCCCTTATCTCTTTCTCTTTTATTCCAAATGAAGAGCTATTCCGAGATGCTGACTTCCAAAAATTTCAGAGACACCTAAAATACAATGCACACTGGATAAAAATATTCAGATAGTTTTATTTTGTCTTTGATACCCTCGACCTAACAGATGTTTTTGTTAGTTTATTATCTGAACTTGTATACTTACTAACCAATATTAACTCTAGTTTTCTGAAATAAGAATACAATTAGTCATGTTCTTGTTTGCTCACTATGAACAGGAATCCAGTTAAGCCTCTCAAAAAAAATTTCAGCGCATCGTATTCTTTACGGAGATCAAGAATATGCTTCCAGTTTGCTTGCATGAGACTTTATACCAGTACAAGACTATTCCTTTGGAAATTCACCACTATGTCAGATGACGTTTGTATTCAGCCTTTGAACTGGGTTTAGCTGAGTCAGGAGGTAGGCACAGTTTCTAGAAAGGTCTGAGGATAGGAAAAGTAAGGCATTCTTTTAAGCTTTAAGTCACAAACAAGCATTAGGCTTAAACGGAACTGCAGCCAAAATAAAACAGTGGATCATCTCTCTCCAGGAAGAGGGAACAATTGCCAAGTCATTGATAATGGGCTTGTGTATTGGAGAGTGCTTTCTTCCAAACCTAGAGTAAACAAGTAGGAACAGGGAGTTCTTTTCAGGATTAAAATCACAAGATAAAAATAATGTTAGAGCATCAGTCTAGGAGTAGAGTCCTAGAAAACAATAGACAGACAACACAAAGGACTTCAAGAACTATCACAATTAAAAACAGTAAAACACATCTCTATGATACTGAAGTACAAAGTATAGCATAATCCATTCTAGGCAGTTGCTTGTGCTCTCCCACCTCATTCCTTATATTTGCTCATTCCTTATATTTCAAGTCATATGCCTCTGCTTCAAGTCAAAGCAGCCACCTGTTTGCAAAGTTTAAAAGATAAATCTGAGTTAGGGAATAGAGAAAGAGCTCAGGTTAGAGATAAAACATCAGCATTAGGCAGATTAAGCGTAGCCTGTACAGCAGACTGTCTGGAACACTACTATTTACTAGGTTAAACCAGTTGCGCGAGATGAAATGCTGCTGCTGCGTACAGCAACTCAAGCATGCAACGTACTCCATCTGTCCATGAGAAAGGTGCGGCATGTGTGTGACAGAGGTTGCAGAGGGCGCTACTTGACAGAAGCTGGAGCCTGAAATAAGCAGTACATCTCAGATAACTAAACCCATTAATCAGACTCATTTTGAGACATACACCTGAGAAACACCTGCCTGCCTCACAATGACAGTAGCTTCCACTTGGGCAAAGGAAACATAAGTTTTCAACTGACACAAACAGGCAAAACTTATCTAGGATAGGTTAAAACATCCTCTTGTGCCACTTCTTGCCTACATCAGGAAGAACAAGTCCTAGAGCATGGTCACAGCAGCACAGAACTTTGATAGTCCTCCCTTTATACGAGCAGTACAAACCAGCTGCTACCCTCATCTACTTATTTCACTACTGACCAGAGCTTTTCACTGGGAATTGACAAACAATGGAACTAAACAGAAGAAGGAGCATGGGAGTTTCAAGGAAGCTTCTGTGCAAAAGAGTTTTTATTAAAACTGAATTGAGAGCTGAAAGGTCCTACAGCTCAGCATTCAAGGATGCATCCCGCTGTGGCCAGACACTGCCTCCTCCTTGAAGGGGAGCAGGGATCAACAGAATTCTGGTGAGAAGTTATAAACAAGCATTCACGGCATTCGTTTCAGTAGATTGAGAACAGGCAGCTAGAGCAAGAGCATACAAGTATTGAGGGTCAAAACGTGAGACTGAATTAATTAGAAAGCCAAAAACAAATAAAGATACCAACATAATAAATTTCTGAAATTCTCTAGAAAGAAGAAAATCCATAGGAAATGAACACAAGACTACAGCTTATAGAATAGCTGACTACAATGAAACACTATGCATCAAAGGTGACAGACCCAGAGGGAAACTAAGGAAGCAGTCCATGCCACAGGAATATAATACTAGACTTCCATACCTAATATCCAAACCAGGCTTGTGTTCATTACTAAATGGTAAATGAGGGCAAAGAGGATGCCACAGCAGAAGACATACTGAAAGACTGCGCCTCTGCCTTTCCACAGACATCCGTCAGAAGAAAGATAATCAAGTGTAAGATTCTTTGACAGTTACTATGTAGGGGTGGGACGGAAATAGTACCCTCAAGACGACAGCATTTTTTGCACAAGAGAGTTACTATTAATTCTTCTTAAAGTCCTAAGCCAAAGGGTCTTACGGGACATGCCTATTTAAGTAATTTTTATCTTCTACCGACAGTTCTTTTGACAAATATGACATCAGAAGAAAAGTCAAGACTTTACAAGGCTTACTTATTCGGAAACAGTTGGAAGTCCCTGACAGGGAGATAAAAGTGTTGCCTACAACAAATATTTGGCTTGCCCCAAATCTTTTTGCAAGCATCTTTTAAAGGAACTTAGAAGTAAATTAGAACCCCCCTACAATAAGGTTGGTTAAGATATAAGCAGCAGAGAACGAAGGTGGGCTACCGCTTGAGTCTCAGGCATCCGAGTTCAGTATATTCTTGAGTGTCAGAAAAAGGAGATTAGTGAGATGCCAGTTTACTGATAATATAACAGGACAGTCATATCTAAGCTGTATGGAATCATAAAATCTGTCCTAATAGCAGGTGACTAGTAGCAAAACAGCAAATGAAATAAGGGTGAAAAATACATAAGCTAAAAAAGCCCTAAATCAGCCATTACTGCTCAAACAGCTTAGTCGCTAAGTCAGCTGTGAGAAGAAAGCGTTCCTATCAAAATACAATTAAGATATTCAGCATTATTAGCAAAAGGATAAAGACAAAAGTCATAATTATACAAATGTATGTCTCATGCACAGCCAGGCCACCTGACCTTAGAGGACAAACAAGAAAACGAGAAGAGGTAAAGAAGAAGAATAGTTAGTAGCGTAGTAGCGGCTTATATACCAGGAGCAACCAAGAGACAAGGGCTCTTTTTCATGCTAACAACCAAGTAGCAAGAAGGAAATGTGGTAGAGGTTTCATTAGAGATAGAAAAGTGAATCTGAAAGGACTAATTACTGTTTCTCAAGACACAAGAAATAGGCAGAAGAAATAAAAACAAGCAACAGACATTAGAAAGACTGGAGAAGTCATCCTCTTCCCTTCTCACCTCAACACCATACTGAATTCAAGCTAGTGAACTCTCTGCCACAGAACATTGTGGTTGCTAGGAGTTCAAACGGTTCAGAAGCTACTAGACAAAATAACATAAGACAGACCTTTAAACCTACCACATGGATGGAGCCTGCAGCTCTGACATCCCTTAACTGCAGACTGCTAGAAGCAGAAAGGTTATATTGGGAGAACAGCGTTCTAGACTTGCCTCATTTGACTGCCATCTCCAAGTGCATTACTGGTCACCAGCAAAACAGGTCAAGACCACCTCTGGCTTGAGCCATTCCAGAGTTCTTACGGTTCAAGACAACTGGCACACAGGCAGTGTTCATAAGCCGCTCAACGTTTAGAGGACTGAGTAACCTGTTTAGGAGCTACTAGTCGTGTCAAAGATAGCAGACGATGCCACAGGAGACATGCACCAGGAACACAGGCTTTTGAGTAGTATGCTCAGACTAAGAACAAGCCTGTTAGAAGAAAAGGCTAAAACTTCTACATTTAAGTTGGCAGTTGTTCCGATAACATCTCTGATGAGACTGCTTGCAAATGTATCATTAAAAAAAGAAAAAAATATAACACAGACATTCTCAAATTCATTATTCAGTACTGTATCTTCACTCAGTAATAGTCTAGGCTGCCCTTCTTATTTTCCAAGCACTGGCTTGCTCTTATTATTCACTGATTTTCTGAAAGTTAATCATATTAGGCCTGCCAAAGTTAGCATCAATTCTTAAAAGCTGGAATTTACTTGTGCTGCAGAAAATGCACTCTGGAAAAAAGAGTATTTGCAGTGTTGCATTCCATTCTTGGAAAGCTGCTATAAATACAATTTTTCTATGATATATTTTCTAAATATCATCTGATGAATAATTAATCCCAAATCAAAACGTATACAACTTTCATTTTATGCATTTTTCTATTTGATTAAACACTGCTTATGGATAATCTTAAAAGTGTTTTAGACAAGTTGCGGTGGTTTACAGAAGCAGTACTTTGAAATTATTCAAGTCAATGGTGAAAATACAGCACATTAAGGAATAAGATCAATCCTCACATTTGTAAAACGATCTATCATAGAAGCCTAGCTCAAAACTTACACACCACAGTGCAGTTTATTACTGATTTCAGTAGAAGCAGGACTCAGCACTACAGTAAGCATGCAGACCAACTGTAATCTTCTAGAACTATCCAGTTTCAAAAATCTGAAGTCAGTTGTTCTCCACTTCTTTTTAAACAGTGGATATACTGAATGCATTTGACTACTCAAATCATATACCTTCCCAAGAGAAAAAGTATGCACTTCAGAGAGACTAAAAACTGCTAGTCCAGGCTGGCTTTAAAAAAAAAAGAAAAAAGATTAAAAAAAAAAAAAAGGATATACTGCAGTACTTAAAGTTGTTACCTGAATTGCTACCAAAGTTTACATCATTACAACTGAAGACTTTAAGAGCCGCTAAAAGAAATCTAAAAAGCAAGGAGGTTTGGATTTCAGGATGAAAATCCTGGTTTGACAATCCATCCTTAACTCACCGCGTCGATATTGTAGGGGTCTCCAAACAGCAAACAGTATGCGCTCCATCTCGTCTGAAAAATCTAGGCACAATGGGGGTTGAGTTAAGGAAAGAATGTCAGACCTAGTGTTTAGCCTTTAAGAGAATCTATTTAAGGTTCAAAAATTTACCTTTTTAGCAATATATTACAGTCTTATTGAACATTCCTGGAGGATAAGTTAGGCTTACATTGTTATTTTCTTTCTGTTATTGTTTGGCTGTCTGAGGAAAAAGTTTCAAAAAATAAGTTATCTTCCCCTTTGTTCAATCCTCCAAGAATGCTACAAAAGGTAAATTTTGAGGCCTAAATAGGTTGACAGCGTTACCCTTTTAGAACAGTTGCTTGATCAATCTCTCCCCCTCCCCACCAACCATACTTTATGTACTTTAAGTAGCAATTGAGATTTATAACAGGAGAACAATCTAGAAGTCTTATTTTAGAACTGCATTTTGAGATTTTCAGTTTTCAGAAGCCATCGTGCCTTTTAGCTATAAGCAGGATGTGAGAAGCAGTAGGTCAGTCAATAACATATCAGTCTCGCACAACCCTGCATCATTGCTAGGATAAGTCAAAGTATTTCCTCTCCCTCAGCCTCCAGATAAGGAAAAAGAACAGGGAGACTTTGTTGGAGGAAGCACAGGTGTAATTGAGAAGGATATATCGGATGCTGGTAGCGGCTAGAGACTAGGAGCAAGATCAGTGCAACAAGCATATGGAACCCTGTTATAGATGTCTTTCATAATGCAAGACGACCATTCTAGCAACAGTATTATTTTCTTCTTCCCCTTTACTGCTCTGATAATCCATCATCAAGGAATTAATTTTTCCAATCAACGTGAAACAGAAGTTTCAGAGAACTAGTTTATTACCTCATCTGCTATGCTGGAAACAATCACCCATACTTACGGTCATGATGACAGCAAAAAGCAAAGCCATTCCCTTCCCCCAGTGGGTTTCAACCAGAGAGTAAAGACAGACCTGGTAACATGCTTTCAAGCTTTATAGTTAAGAGGTTTACAGTAAAGTCATTTTTGCTGTGTTGATCTACCTTGGATGCAACGTTAGTTATTAGGTGTGGTTGAGGGGATTAAGCCAACTTTGAATTCCATTGCTTTTCAAGTGCAGGTTGAACTTGAGCCTTCCCTCAGCTGCAGAGAATAAGACTCATCCCAGTGCATTCAATTTGAACTACCAACATGACTAAAGTTAAGAGTATTTGGAGCCCAGGCCTAAAACTACTCTTGGGATGTTCATTATGATGCAAACTGCAGAGTCACTAAAATATTAGCATGTACAATTGAGTCATAAGTACCTGTGCCAAGGTTACACATGGAATTAATTCCACTCTTACTGACTAAAATGCAAGGAGAATCAGGTACAACAGCCCCTTAAGCAGTCCCATTAGTAATGATCATAACTTAGATCTGTTTAAATTGGATTTTAATGACATTCATTAGGAACTGTCTAAGGAAGTGGAGGTTTTTTTTCCCCCAAATGAAGACAAAAGGATGACTAGATCTCTGTCAGAGGTCCTTCCTGAGCCATGACGTGGTAACACACCACATCAAACCAATGTGGGCGGTTAAGGCATCTCAGGATCTGTAGCAACAGGCCACACAGGAATACACATGTAGCATTATGACCAGATCCATCTCACTCCCCAGTCCAAAGGCCAAGAGGCAATTTACAACCTAAGGCAGGCTTTGACCAAGTCCAAAGTGAAATCTGCATTCAGGTCACAGGATCTAGAGCAAAAAAGCAACTTTACCTACTGCCACTGCACTCTTCAGATCACTGATACATGTTTTGTAACAGAAGTTGTCCATAAATGAGACATGAATTCTGAGGCTGCTGCCGAATGCCTCTTCTTATGAAGTGGTATCATTTCAGCAGCTTCCTCATGAACAACAGAATCACAAGGGAAGTTCGGAGTTCAAAGCATCCAAAATATCGTATTAGTAATGAACATCATCTTAATCAAGTAAATTAAGTATTTTCCCAAACAGAAAAGTTTCATGGCACACTGAGTAAAGCAGTAGAGCAGTAGACTGTATGAGAATCTAAACAAAAGGCCAAACAAGCTATTCTGAAAAACAGAAGGATGGAATGGAAGAAATCTGAGAGTTACTTTCCGAAAATATTTTTTTCTAATAGATGTCTGAGCTTGCTTCTGGTCTCTTAAGATGCAAAACCATTTTGAACAGCATATGAGTTTAGTTTTAATAGAAACAGCAAAGTATCAAAGATTCCCTAAATGCAATTTTACCAGTTGCACAGTAGGAAGGCAAGGCATTTTAAAGATTATTTTTTTTCCTCCAATGTTTGTGCAGTTTGGGATGATTCCAGCATTCCGTACAGAAGCTAATTTCACCAAGATGCACAAATCTTAGGAGGACTAACCACATTGAATGTCAGTTCACTACTTTAAGAGGAATAGCGTGCAAAGAAAAAGAACAGTAAATGCCTACTCAGTACCTTGATTCAGTATTAAACACTGTACAAACGAAGATGATAGTTTTAATAAAATACTTCAACAAAAGCTTTCCAGGTATATCAAAAATGAAGCACAATTTCTGTATGGGGTAGGTCAGGGTAATTAGTTTAGCCTGTGGAGCTATTGTAAGAAAACTACTACTTACAGACATAAGTAGTAACATGGACAAGCAATAGGTTTTTGGGGTTTTTTTGTTTTTGTTTTTTTTAAATAAAAAGCTTCTTACACTTCAACATTTTTCTGCTGCAGACCAGATGTCTTCTTGCCTGGAGCAGCACCTCTCATCTTCCCCTCTGCATACTGTTCCCTTTAAAAAATAAATTCGGCAATAAGACTTTAATGAGAAGAAGTGTGTCTTCGTGAAAGGCTAACAGATTATGCAGAACATTTAGAGAACTTTCAGTAAATGGTTTAAGGAAAACAGCCAAGTAAGACAGCATTGCCACAAGCAGGAACAAACCCGACTCAAAATGGAAAAGATTTATGCTTCATCTAATAAACAGTTAGCAGTGTAAACAGTCATTTCTTCCTCTTCCATCTTTTTTTGTTCTGAATCATCAGGAAGCAGCCCAGTAACTGCTTCAGAAAAACATAAAAAGCATTCTATATGAAAACATTTTTATCTCCACCCCCCCCCCACTCCCTCAAATAGCATTCATAGTGATCAAAGCATTTGTAGGCATCCTGAAGCTGCCTGAAAAGATTCTTACTATTTAAGAGTATATTTTAAGCATACTGCATGAGAATCACTTACTTTAACTGCCACATTAAAGAACGTACTTGTAATTAGTCAGGCTGCCTCCCTCAGTTTAATCAATCCACTCTTCCGCAAAACCTAAAGTCACTGTTTTAATAAAGACTGAGCTGCTACTTGGTTCCAACTGCTAGAAGGCAAAGATCAGAACACCCCTTTATGTCAAAGCATCTCAAGGAAAAGAAATCAGACTAGCACACCTCCTGAAGACTTTTTTTTTTTTTTTAAACTCACTAACTTCCCTTGATAATATAGTTATTGGATTGAAGCGCCACAGAAAAAAAGGTGACTTCACTAACAAGGACTTTCAACAAAAATACTTACTGATTGGCCTTTTGAAGTTCTTTTTGTTTCTGCAAATTGGTATCCACGTATTTGAGCACTCTGCTTTCTGGAACCCATTCATCCCAGCTGAAAAATCAAATAATCATTCAAAAACACTACATAATTGGATTCTATTCCCAACAGTCAATTAAAAGCTTCACAGCATTTGAGACTGAACTCTGCTTTTGTGACAAGTTATGGACTGGCACAATTGAAAAAGTAAACTATCAAATGCATTCCCCACTGACTGAAGCTGTAGCAGTTTTTCTAGGGAAGTATAACTCTCAGTCATTTCTGAAGAGTTTCCCAAATTTGAAGGATGGGTAATTTGGGGAGGAGGGGATTGCCTTTTAAATTAAAAAGAAGCGTCTCACAAAAAAAAAAAAAACTACACTTACTAAATTATGGGACATCTGTAGCCATAACTATATTATGAAGCGACTTTCCTTTATCTATTCCAACATTTTATAGGTTAACAAATTCAGCAATAAGATCTTACTGTAAGAAGAAGAGCTCTGATTTCTGTCTGTGAAGGAAACCAAGATGGCATGAATATTTGAAGAATCTGAAGTGAACGATTTAAGAGAACAGGTGTTGGGGAAATTGCCATTATCAGTAAGAATTCCACTTTGTCAAAGAGTGGATAATCTCTGAGCAATCTGACAAGTTATTTCAAATTAAAAAAACACATTAAAAGTGGCCAAGTTATTCTAAAGCGTGCAAGCTAAAGCTCCATACCTGAGGAGTTCCACGCCATTTTTATTTCATGGCAAGAACTGCCAGTCTTAGAACACCAAGGTGGCAAGAACAATACTACTACAGGAGTACAAGGTCTTCAAGATTCTTAAGATAAGGCAGACTTAGCATCCAAGTGCTATAGAAAAACATACACCCAGCTGTACATATTCTAAATCTACATTTTTAGGATAGTGCTTTGGTCAGATATCTAAGCCACTTGTCTTACTTCTGTAATACAGCTGTGGGACACCTTCAAAAAACAAAAGTACAACTGTGCCGCACATATTACAGTGAATAGTGAAGAAACTATTTTTTTGGTATCCTAACTGTTGATATTTGCAAAAAAAATTAAGAAGCAATTAACAAGTAACATACAAGAGGACTGCAATTACAGAAACCAAAATTAAAGAGACATATAGTCCCAGCTGTCTAGGTGTAGCAACGCCACTTTTAATGTAGTTAATTGGAAGCTTGAAGGAAAAAAACAAACAAACTAACCAAAGAAACAGTGCAAGCAAGAAAAGAAGCAGGAGTCACAACATTGCTTATGGCACCCTCCACCACCAGAGATAACAAGATGTAGCATCAAATTCATGCTGCCTCATCGATATACAGCAGCCAGCTTAAGAATCAGCAACACTCCCTGTAACTTGTGGTGTTTAGGATAAGACACTTATCTGCCCATTTTGTGGGGGATATGTTTAAAAAAACATTAGGTATCAAAACATGAAGTTCAGCTGTTAGTCAAATCAGCAATATTAGTCCTCACTCAAGGGTCTGCAGTATTAGGATGAAGCAAAATTCAGAAAAACGCTCTCTGAAAGAGATTTGAAGTCTGAGGAACTGAAGTTTAAATTGCTAAAAGGCAAAAAGTTTCCTAAATTCATAACCTAGTTATAGAATAAAACTAAAATGAGAAAAATCAACTATGCAAATGTGATAGTCCTATTATTTTTATAGGAGGGAAAAAATATCTGTAGCTTTACCTTAGCATGAGAGGCAAGAACTGAAATACAGGCTAAACCTGCTCATGTGAAGGACTAAAATAGATGGCCTCTCCCATTCTGGGTGCAGTCTTCACTAAGGCATGCTACTCCATACCTTTATACACTTTTGGTAGCAAAGTTTGGCTATAAGAATAAAGGACACCATTCCCTGAGTAGTAGACTGTTTTGCTCCACTTCAGAAGGGATCGCCTCTCCTACCAACATATAAGGAAACATTTGTCCTAAAAACTTCTGTAAGAAAGGAATTATAGCAACTATTTCCAAACCTGAACAAACAGAATTAGAAAGTTGCTATAACGCATTCTATTTAGTCTACTGACACCTTAAGCGAGTTGGTCTATACAACCAAAGCTCTGAAGGAAACGGTTAGTTGACCAACGTTTACTCTGTTTTACTACAAATCACTGGCTTAAGTATAAAATTGCTTGTAAACAAGCCAATTTCAGAAATAATCTGCTAATGATACATACTTGGTAGGGCTAATCCATTAAGGGTAGCATTCAAAACTGACAATCGGTAAAGAAAAATGAAGTATTGCCTTAATTTTATATAATACTTACTTTTTATTCCAACCACTGTAATGGATAAAGTATTTCACTTGTTTATCCTTTATGGCAACCTTTACACACTGGAACAGAGAAAAAAGTTCCGTCAGCATCAATGAGAACAAAAAGATTTCTGAATGATTTTTGTTTAAGCTTTCAGAGTCTAAACATGCAGATTTCCATGCAAGCCATCGAAATACTGGGCAGCAATCTCACAGCAGAAAGTTCTCTAACACAAGTTACTACCTATTTATAGATTTGAGAGGGCTAGGCAAACAAAAGATTCAACTATACAAAGGGATACCTTCCTTCATAAGAAGGATCAAAAACCCCTGAGGATGACCAGAAGAGTAAACAAGCAGTCACTTAACTACCCCAAAGTTAGCCAAAAGCCATTCACTAGAGAGCTTGTTCACATGCAGGCCCCTACCTCACAGACAGGCAAGCTGGCTGAAGTAGAGTAGTCTTCAAAAGCAAAATAAATAATATGGACTTCTATAGCCACAGAGTGTGCATTATATCAGTAGGAAAAGTTGCAGTAAGGGCTTTTTCTAGGTTAACAATGTATATATGAGGAAAATAAAAAAACAGTCATTTCTGTGAGAAGACTGGCCTATGAAGACAGTAACTTCCTAATACAGGAATTAAGGCAAGACTGTTAAATAGAGGAAACAAATACACAAAAGTTGCTCCAAACAGTCCACAATGCCAATCAGATTCAGAAGCGTCCCTCCTAGAAACTTTTTGATCTTATATAAGTACGGTCCACATGGCAGCCTACAAGATGCTGTCTCCGCTTATGTGAGAGGAAGACGTTCAGACAGCTGAACAACAGCGCATGCTATCCAGGTAACAAAACTTCTTCCTACACCTGCAGGCAGCCTGGCACGTAAATGCTCATGCTACTACATCTATATTAAAAAAGCATGTCTAGAGATGTGCCTCTTCCTGCAGGAGCACAGTCCAGAACAGAGATTATCTAACCCTAACTAGTTTATCTTTGTGCCTACCACACATCCCTGAACTTCTTGGCCATATGAAATTGAATCCACCACCTCGGGCTTGGATAGGGTACTTCACTCGGAAAGGCATCAAGTCTTGTTCTGGAGATACTGAGACAGAGAAGCCACTGTACCATTTGACAATGTTATCCAATCTATTACTTCTACTGTCAGAAACACGAAGAACCACCCTCTCTGACTTCAGCTTCTAATCTCTGATTATTCTTAAGATTATCACTGAAATCCAAAAAAAAAAAAAAAATACACAGAAGTAATACTTGCTGTTTTCTTGCCATGCTACTTGAGTCACCTGTAAGTATTTCTGAGATGCCAGAGTCGTCTCTGTACAACGTTTTCCTGAGACCAGAGAGCACTTTAGTGACTTCTTCTCGTACTCTCCGCGAAAAAAAGCCATACATGGAAATCAAACTTGGTCTCACCTAGACTGGGATCAAGGACCTCTTAATTCTGCGGCTCATTTTGACAACCTAGTTCACTGTAATCCTGGAGTAACCCAGACCAGCCAAAGATATACTATACACTTAAGTCGCCTCTGCTTGTTTTGAGGAATGCAAACAGGCAGGAAGTTAAAGATGATTAAAAATTTTCTGTACCACAATACTTTCCTGCCTGAATGTATCTTTTCACCAAAGAGAGCATTAATAGATAATTAGATGAGCACTTCCAGTCATTTTAGAGCAGTTAAAAGAGATAATCAACTTTCAGCTCGAAGCTAGCAGTACCTTAAGTGAACCTCCTTTAACTTTGCATTGTACAAAGATGCACAAACAGTTATTGCATGTCAAGTAAGAAGTAGTAATTTCTCATCTACTCTGACAGAAAGACAACTGTTTCTCTGATCATCTTGCTATGGGAAGCTAAGGATATGATCATAAGGAATGAAATGTGTTAGTTACATATCAAGTATTACAGAATAAGAACAGATCAAAGGAACAGCAAGAAAGCCAAGGATATAATTATTACAGCCTAGAGGATAACTTTTTAAATTAAAATCCAATTCCTCTTGCCACTTCAGAAGCCCAGAACAATCTGGGCTTTCTACATGAACAGCCAGCCAAAAGCTCCCTTACCACTCAGAAAATCCCTTCTGGCATCAAGCTGACAGAGCCAGCTCTCGCAACATTCAACCCACCCAGGCATAACGGAAAGAAGGGGCACATCACAACATAACATGGAAAAAGCACGTAGCTCTAGCAGCTCTTCGGCCGTTCTGATCAACCCAAGAGGTAGGACTGCTGGTAATCAAAGTTGGCTTTCAAAAAAAAGAAAGGGAAAAAAACCCACAAACACCACACACACTACTCTCCTTCCTATGCCAGCAACCAGATAGGCACTGGCAGAAGGTACCAATCTGAACATACATGCATACCAAACTCGCCTTTGAGTACTAAAGCAAGAGGAAGAACAGGCATTCGAATGAAAATATGTTTTAGACTACTCCCTTCCCTGTCAAATCTTAAGGGGATACAGACATGTCTTAGACATCTACAACAGAAACGCTCTGGACGTTATTTGTAACATTAGAATGACCGCTTCCCAATGGCACAGGAAGAGACACCAAATATTTCTAGTTTCTTCTCTACTTCCACTCTCTGACATTGTCACATCACTTAACATTCACTAACACTAAAAACTTAAAAGAACTTAAATACCAGCTTTCAAGATAGCTTAAAGCTGAGTGTCCCAAAAATTTCTGCAAGTCTTATAATCCACACCACTACAGACTGCCTCTTTTCCAGTTTCAGAGGAAGTAGAAACAACCAGTCAAATGAGGAGCTATACCTTCAGCAAAGTAGATGGCACTGCAGTGATATCTGGTTAAGGCCCATAATAAAAACACATAATTGAAAGAAAGGGTGTAGCATCAGAGGTCTGCATGTAAAGCAGTAAGTAAACTTCAAGTCACAAATATGTAATGCATTATTTCTCAGGTTAAAGAGCCAGAACTGAGAGCACTGCCTACTTCGTCAGTTTAATCCAGCATTATCTTCTACAGTTTTGTCCCATTTGAAGATCAGTGATTTTACTCAGCCATCTACATCCCTGAGAAAGCTCAAACTACAGTTAACTTACTAGTTCATGCATCAGCACCAGCACCAAGTCTTACGGGCATGAACACTTTCCTGTGTTCTGGGAACACAGGTGTATTATAGATGTTCAGCACAAGATCTGGCCTTTAGTAGTTTACCAGAATAGCTGTACAGTACCACTTTTTCTTTTTTTTAAAACTCATCTATAGAAAACACAAAACTACAGGGTTTAAAAAACACAAGTTAATTTTAGAGTATGATCACCTTAAAGTATGATCACTTTAAGGTGTAAAGTATTTTAGCTTCAATCCTTAATCCCATCTAGGCAAGCAGATAAACTAGTACAATTCTTTACTTTCTGGAGGAACAGTGAGTACCGTCTCCAGCAATAAACAATCACACATACCTTTGCTTCATAAAGGAGAGGTCCATGAAAACAAAGCACTCGTTCACCTGAAAAAAAAGGTTGCAGATAACCATCTCAGAACAATACCAATGTGTCATTTCCGAAAAACTGCATGTTATCAAATACAACATTAGGAGATAGAAGATGAATAACTCCAGTGAAAGCATACAATCAATCCCACATCAACCTAGAAAGCAATTCAAAGGCAAATATTGATTTCAGGAGCGGACTGGTGTTTCAGAAAGAAATCTACTCTGGAGTAAACAACCACACACACGCACAAAACTCTAGTTATTTAGGCCATGAAGCAAATATCCCTAGGCAGTTCCCTAATGAGCACTCACACAAGGACAGCTGCATGTAAACTATGCCCTGGCCTGCCCCCCATGCCTACATGGCCAGCCATTCTGCAGAAGGCAACTGGCACCAAAATGTATATGCCTGCCCCATACTTCCGGCCACTGCCAATTCAAGTTAGAGACATGCTTGCATCCTGTTTCAAGGCTGGCACAGATAACGCCTTCGCAGCCTTGAATTTCAGAAGCAGATCCTGAAGCATGCTGGCTCTGCACAAACATACTACTTCAGCCTTAGTACTGAAGTAGTTAAGTACAGGGAAAAAAAAGGTCTTACTGTAACTAAGGGATTCTTTAGTCTCCAAAACACTGCATTTTGATTCAGAGCAGGAAATTAGTTCTCAGTAAGAGATGTCACCTCTGTATCGTAAACTTCTGACACCAGTGAAAGCAATTATTTGAGTAGCACTTCTTTTCCTGGAGGAAGTACAATACCTGGTGTTTCTAGCTCAGTGAAGTCAGAAGAAGAGAGACACTGTTTCCCCAACCCCCC